AAGTGGCTGAAAAAGCAGGTGCTGTCAGCACATGCAGCTGCTTATAGACTAGTATATATTAACACAGACTTCTGAATTTTGATTGAACATTTTTTCGTTTGTTCCTCGGTAACAAAGCAACTGACTAATTTAATAAAAGATTAATCTACTTATCCTATTATTTTAATTAACTGTGTTATTTGGTCTGTAACATATCAGAAAAAAGTGATAAATTATCATAATTAGATCCCAAGTTGAAATAGAAGAAATTGATTTGCCCCACTCGCTTGAGCTGTAATCAGGGAATTTGTTTGCATATTTATTCCAAAAATAAATGTAATGAGTCGTCAAACCTCAATAGATTAATCGATCAATTGACTAATTGTTTCAGTTTTAATTGCTGCGTTTACTGTAATGACCTGAATACTTGTTCCATCATCTCTTTGTATTCTGATACAGAACAGAGCACAAGCTTCCTCCTGCCAGCAACATAGATTATATAATCAGCTGCCCCTCTGACCCCCCCCACCCCCCCCACCCCCCACCCCCCTTTGTTTCTTACACCTCTGTTTACTCTTGTTGTTCAGTAGCAGCAGGTTCGGAGCCGTGCAGCCTCCTCATGCTGAAGCTGCACGTCAGGTTGATTTGCATGTGTTCCTGCTGCATCGCCACCACAGCCTGCAGCACGCCTCTACCTGCCACTTATCACTCACTGCACAAATCTGTGCCTGCAGCCGTTACTGTTCACGTCAGGGCGGCTGTGTGTGCGTGTGCGTGTGTGCGTGTGTGTGTGTGTGTGCATGTGTGTGTGTGTGTGTGTGTGCGTGTGTATAAAGTGGACTGAAACGCACTGAGCACGTTGATAACAGAATAAATCTTCCTCTGAGGAGCGTGCTGCCTCTTGTCTCATGATCTGAGTGCAGCTGAAAGGAAGAATCTCTTAGTCAGTCAGTCATTCGGTGTGTGCTGTCATGGAGAAAAAAAAACAGGGATGGTGTTGCTGCTTTGTAATCACACAGTGAACCTTTTGTTCCGACACTGTCTGAGGTCAATCATCTGACAGGAGTTCCACGTCGGGTTAATGCATATGAAAGTATTCACTGATCCTCTCTCTTGTAAAACCTGTAGCTACTTTTGTGTTTCCAGTCACCGTCTGTGAACAGGTTCTTCTCATCAACACATTTCAACTGGATCTGGATCCATTAGTGTGAATCTGTTCACGTCGGAATGTCACAATGTTTTCAGGTCAGAGAAACACCTGGATCACCCTTATCCCTCACCCTTGATTAAATAACGATTATTTTTGTGATCCATTAATGAAATCTCGTTGTTTTCTTTAAGAGGAGTTATTAATTTGCTCTGTAAAATGTCGGAATGGTGAAAAATGTCCGTCATAGTTTTCCAGAGACAATTTTCCCCAAAGTGACGACATCACACTCCAGAAGTCGTTTGAATTGTTGTTGATTCATTTTCTGGTGAAGGAATAATTCATTAATCAACTCATTGTTCAGCTGTAAATATATTTGGGAAAACTTTTTTAAATTTTAAGTAATTTTGCTCCCTTAAAACAATTAAAGTGTTGAAAGTTGTGAGATTTGAATGGATTCAGATTTTCAGATTGACAGATTTGATCATTGATGAGAGGATTCACATCAGAAAAATATTATCAAACTCTGATCTTAGATCAGTATCAGCAATTTGAAAGATTTATTTCACTCAAGTATCAATTGTGTGAGGATTTGCCTTTTTTTCTGTTTTTTTATCTTTGAGTTTTAGACTGTTGGTTTGAGTGTGTGTGTGTGTGTGTGTGTGTGTGTGTGTGTGTGTGTGTGTGTGTGTGTGTGTGTGTAATAGATATATAAGTTATATGTATAAGTTCTGTGGAAAGTCGATACGATCAATCAAACTCTATTTGTACTGCACTTTCCATACATGTTAGTGCAGTTCAAAGTGTGCCACAGACTGAGAAGCAAAAAAGAAAAGAACAAATGACAAAGCTGACAATGAGATACAATATAATAGCTTTAAAAAGCTATAATAACATCAGCAAACAAACAAAAAATATAAGAAAATGAATCATAAAAGGGCGGGTAAAATACAAATTAGAACATATTTACAATCAAATAAATTAGTAATAAATAATTAAGGTACTTCATCGTTAGTGCAAATCACTGCAGGAGTTTGGTGCACACATTAATTAATTGTGGCCTCAATAATTCCTGCCCATGAATCAACAGAGCATAATGTTACACTGAAGTTTATGTACACACTGTATCTGTGTCAGGGATCAAAACAAACCTGCACTAAACCCTCAGAGGCTCATAGTGTCACTGACTGACGACTTCCACTGTTTATTTTGCACTCAGTGTGAACTGACTGTAACAGCGGGACTGAGGCTACAGGTTGTTGTGTTTTCTCAGGTCAGTTCGGAGGCCGGCAGCTGCACCGAACCCTCCATATTGATCCGATCACAGTCGATAAGATTGACGGGTGTTTCAGCGCAGACTTGAGAGAGTTGCTGCAGGTGTTTTCTAGTTTTCAGTGTGTGTCGGGGCTGTTTGCACAGAACTGGTTTTCAGTTACCATTGTTGTCTGTGTAAATGTATGTAGGAGGGGCTGTGACATTTTAGTGCAACAAAGCTGTTTTGCAGTGTGGAGCAGCAAGAGGCCGCCAGTGGAGGGCCACATCGCACAGCAGTGTCACGCCCTGCACTGTTTGAACAAACCTGTGTGTGTGTGTGTGTGTGTGTGTGTGTGTGTGTGTGTTTTATGCCTTCAGGACAGCTTTTTGAATGACTGATCCGACCACAGATACGTGTGTTTGTATTTTCTCTCATGACAGCGATGTGAGAAATGCCAGTTATTCCTCCGGTGACACACCTTCAGTTTTACTTTTAATAGCATGTTATGACATGGGGGGGGGGGGGACCTTAACTATTACCTGAAAGCAGAGTGTGTCAGCTGCAGGGAAAAAAAAACATTAGCTGTTACACATCCAACATGGCCGCCCTCCCTCCCTCCTGTCTGGCTTCACCTTTTGTTAGAGCAGGTTTCCTGCAGCTGCTGCTGGCCTCAGCCAGTCTGAGGAGGTTTGAGCCAGATGCTAGTGCAACAACTCTCATACACACACAAACACACACACACACCCACGGACACACCCTCAGGAACGCTGCGACGCCCCGTTAACAAGACGCCCGGCCGTTAAACCATCAGTGCAGCCCCTCCAGATGGAGCGAGCACACCTGGGCTGCCAGACCTCCTCTTCCTCCTCCTCTTTCTCTTCTTCTCCTTCTTCTTCATCTTCTTCTTCTGGCTTTCAGCATCTGCTACATTCAGTTAGGATCTGGAGTCACTTACTGCATCCAACCGTAAGTGTCCATGATGAGATGAAGCTGCAGTTGCCATATCAACAGGGAATGTGAAGACGTAGAGTGGATGTGATGCATCAGGAATGTTGCGTGCTGGTCTATGCTAGTCTGTGTTGATCTGTGCTGGTCTATGCTGGTCTGTGTTGATCTGTGCTGGTCTGTGTTGATCTATGCTGGTCTGTGTTGATCTGTGCTGGTCTATGCTGGTCTGTGTTGATCTGTGCTGGTCTGTGTTGATCTATGCTGGTCTGTGTTGATCTGTGCTGGTCTATGCTGGTCTGTGTTGATCTGTGCTGGTCTGTGCTGGTCTGTATTTAGGTGTTTGTGACCTGGTCAGGGAGCAACGGCTGCAGGAAGCTTGACTCATTTTGGCTCAGTGGGAGGTTTTAAGAAGCTGCTGACTGGAGTGCAGAGACTTTGAGTCACTTGTTGACACTTAACAGGTTTGCTTAGTCCAGTTGTACCTGCAGGTTTTAAAAATGGCTCCATGTGAAGTTTACAGACTGTGCTGCTGCTGAAGGGAAACAGGGAGTAAAATGTTGACCAGGATGAACTCTGATCAACTGATCTCTTATCCTGAGCTGTGTTAGGAAGTGAAGTATGCTTTCATCTCGTGCTGCCCGGCTGTTAGTGAAACCATCAGCCCCTCTGGAGTCTCATCAGTCTGTTTTCTCCTGTTTCTGCTTCTCTCAGACCAAACTGTTCACACAAGCTAACGCATACTCACATATGCTCAAAACAGAGCAGAAATGATTAATTGTTCAGTTGATCGACATAAGAACGATCTCCAAGTTTTCAACCCAAAAAGTCCAAACTTTTCTGGTTCCATCTTCTCAGATGTGATGATTTCCTGCTTCTCTCTGTTTACATCAGTGTAAACTGTGTTTAAGTTGTGAACCGTCAGTAAGACAAAGACAGCACCATGAATGTCACCTTGGTGCCTGGGAACATGTGATGTGCAGTTTTCACTATTTTATCAACAAAAGGATTAATTGATTAATCAAAATAATAATAATTTACAGATAAATCGATTTTAAATAATACTCCCTTTCGGATGTGGTTGACATTGCATTGCATCATGTTTTCTGATAGGTCTGAATTCACTGTTTTCATTGAGACCATTGTGCTTTCTTTTTTAATGTTTGTTTTTGCTTTTTTTTTTTTTTTTATTTCTTTCACACATTCGAAATAAAATGATCAAATGAAATCAAATAATTGTTATCTACAGCTCTACAATGTTTTCAGGTCAGAGAACTACCTGGATTTTCCTTATCCCCGCCCACAATTAAATAACAATATTTTCATGATCTATTACTGAGATCTGATTATTTTCTTGACGATCAGTTGTTAAATTGTCTTAAATTGACTTAAAATGTTTTGTTGATAAATTTGCTGGTGATCAAATAATTGATTAATCAACTCATTGATCAGCTCCAAATATATTTGACAAAACTTCAATCTCATGGTTTAGTTTTTAAATATCAAGTAATTACGCTTTGGTCACTGTGCATCACTGCCAACAATGGCTTCATACAACCTGACACAAGATAAAATCTCTGATGGTTGACCAATGTGTTGTCTGACGGTGCGTGTTGCAGGTTGTATCTGAAGCATCAGAGTTTTCTAATGATGTGTGTGTTTGTGTGTTTTCAGGTAAGAGGAAGCCGGTGCTCAAGCTCTCCAAGGAGGTGTTTGAGCAGCCCACTCCCGCCGCAGTGTAAGACTCTTCACTACATGATGTTTACATGCTGCGCTTTTGTTATATCTCTGCCAGAGGTCTTTTATTGATCCTCACATCCTGTTTTGCTCATACCTCTGTAGACCTGATGGCTCTGAACCAAATCACATGAAATGAAAAGCCCGGGTACAGCAGCTTGTCATGAACATCAGTATTCATTTCTTCATATCACACCCCTGATATTTGCACATTTTCAACTCAATAAGAGCTTCCACAGAATGATTTGTACATGTTGTTCTTGTGCCGTCTCCTCAGTGTTGTTAACATGAACTCAGACTGCAGCTGCCTGTAGACCAGCGCAGCCCCAAATTATTCTGAGCCGCAGAGAGACGAAATATTCAGTTGGTTTTAATCATCTTCATCGGTTTGAATCGTCGTCATTAAAAAAGCTGCAGCAGCAGAGGCGTTTTGGTTTCAAGCCAACTTCACGTGACATGTCACACTGTTGGTCGCTTTTATTGCATGAACACTATTGATTTTATTTTAAGTGAATTTAGTAAGTAGTGCTTATCAAATTGTATTTTTTTTGATTTCCTAATTAATATAATTTTTTTTCTATTGTATTTATTTTAAATTTTATTTCATTTTTAATTTTATTTATTCATTATTTTATTTTTGTTTATTTTCCATATATTTTTCGTTTTCATTATATCATATGTTTTCATTTTAAATATTTTTTATTTTATTATTTTATTTAAAATGAATTAACATTTTTAACTCATTTTGTATTGACTCATCAATGCCTTTCATTTTTTAATTTCTTTTCTCAAGTATTTTGTAACTTTGACAGAAAAAACTCTTTTTTTCCTGAGCTTACATATGTCACAGTCTTGAGGCTTTCAGAAGAGCAGTATGAGTGATTTCATTGAACTATACTGAGAGAATTCTTAACTGCCAGTGAAGGAAAACCATGAGATGTGGTTGAAAGCTCCAAGAAAAGCTAGTAAAAATAAAACATTTATACTGAACTTTGATTTTTAAAAGTGGTCAAAAAAATTTAGAGTGTTAAAGTGTGTGTGTGTGTGTGTGTGTGTGTGTGTGTGTGTGTGTGTGTGTGTGTGCGTGCGTGCGTGTGCATGCGCGTGCGTGCATGTGCGTGTGTGTGTTTCAGACCCCCCAGAGATCTGGATTCGAAAGCTTGTGTAACCATTGGAGAGAAGGTAATTTTCTTTTATTTCTCCTCTCATCTCTCTATCTTTCCTGATCCCATTCAAGCTTTATATTCTCTTCTTCTTCTCTTACTTTGCTCTGTTACATAATTCTTCTTCACTGTTTTTCCTCTGCCGGTGTATTTTTGGTCGAGTCAGGTCCCTCTCTCTCGGTGTACAGAGGTCGGCTTAATAAAGGATCTGTTGGCTGTAAAGAACGCCCCACTGAACATTACGGCTGAATCCAACACTTGTGATTGTGGGGAGACTGGAATGTCTTTTATTGCCCATTGGGCAGTAAAAATATTTATTTTAAACTCATCAAATAAGTGGAATTTTCCACTGGCAGAGGTGCCTGTTTTCTCTCTGCTCCACTTGGCCTCAAGTCAAAGTGAATGTTTTGCTTTCTTTGCTTGAATCATGTTAAGAGGTTTTTCATCTTGCTGCACAGTGAAGGAGTCGGAGACCTCATAGCCTTGTTACCAGCAGACTGATTACCTGTGTTCACTCCTGTCATTGCTCTTCTTCTTCTCTTGTGTTAAATCTGTGTCATCTTCCCTCGTCTGGTCTCGTTCTCTTGTGCAGAACTTCGAGGTGAAGGCAGATGACCTGGAGCAGATCTGCGAGCTCGGCCGAGGAGCGTACGGCGTGGTGGACAAGATGAGGCACGTGCCCAGTGGCCTGATCATGGCCGTCAAGGTGGGTGAATAAAGACCTGAGGACAGTTTGTTTCTGTGTTTTAAGAACTCTTTGGCAGGTTTACCAGTTTGGCTCAGTTCCTTTAGGCTGGTGTGAACTGTGTAAAAGAAAGCAACATCTGGCAACGACTCTGATGTTGCCAGATGTTGCCTTGCTCTTTGCTTTCCTCTGCTGTCATATGGAGGTTTTATCTGAAGTTTTTCTTGATCTTCCAGATCTTGTCTTGACAGTTTCCCTTTAAATGCAATTTCTTAATGACATTTCAGAGAGTGGATATCTCAAGCTGGAAGCACTTTGATATCTTTTTATAGCGTCCTCTGCTTTGTAGCATCGATTAGCTTCATGTCCCGATCCTCAGCTGCCGAGAGGAACCCGTGGTTGTTTAGTAATGATGATTATAATAATAATAATAATAATAATAATAATGATAACTTTATGGAGCACTTTTCAAGACAAAGTTACAAAGTGCTTTTCATGGTTTTGAACAGGATGACAACAGTGAGCTAGAAATTAGACGGTAAAATTAGACATTTATAATAAAACAAACCTAAATATAAGGTGAGACAAGACACTGACATTTGACTAAAGGTTGTGCTGTCATGTTGTTGTGTGTGTGTGTGTGTGTGTGTGTGTGTGTGTGTGTGTGTGTGTGTGTGTGTGTGTGTGTGTGTGTGTGTCCAGAGGATCCGGGCCACGGTGAACACTCAGGAGCAGAAGAGGCTGCTCATGGACCTGGACATCTCCATGAGGACAGTGGACTGTTTCTACACAGTCACCTTCTATGGAGCTCTATTCAGAGAGGTAGAGTAATGTGGAGCCTGACAGGCAGTAAACTCATTCAGAGCTTGGTCAGATAAAAAGATGATAAAAATAATATAATAGATAATTTAAACTGATTGTGTTATATAAACAGTGAAAAAATCTGTGTCCATTGTTGACGTGCAGCAGAACTAGAGCCGCTCCTGCGTGTTAATGACAAACACCTCTGAAGGTTTTCGGATGCAGAAAACTTCCTGCAGCAGCGACTGGATGTTCAGGATTTCCTCACTGCGACTGAAACATCGGAAAATCTGTCGCTTCCTGTCTGTTTGGAATCCGGGCTGGCTGCTTTTGTTGTTGTTGCTTTCTTTCTTTTTTTTCTTTTTCCTGATCTGTTTCCAAATTTGACTGTTGCCAGGGCGACGTCTGGATCTGCATGGAGCTGATGGACACTTCCCTCGACAAGTTCTACAAGCAGGTGATCGAGAAGGGGATGACCATCCCTGAGGACATCCTGGGAAAGATCGCTGTCTCAGTGGGTTGATTAAAAACTCATTTTCGGTTAATGACACATAGTTGTTATATAACTCTCATTAGCTTATTAATGGCCTTTGTTATTACAGATAGTAAAAGCTTTGGAGCATCTGCACAGCAATCTGCAAGTTATACACAGAGGTAAGAGCCTGAGGAAACATTACAGCTCAGAGACAGTTTCCTCCTCTCTGATGCATCATCACTCGTTCTTTCTTTCTTTCTTTCTTTCTTTCTTTCTTTCTTTCTTTCTTTCTTTCTTTCTGTCTTTCTTTCTTTCTTTCTTTCTTTCTTTCTTTCTTTCTTTCTTCTTTTCTTTCTTTCTTTCTTTCTTCCTTCCTTCCTTGTCCAGTAACTAGAAATCACTTGTGCTGCTGTGCTATAGAAATTTCAGCCATTGATTTCCATTCACTTCTATTAGCAGGCTCTCTGCTAAGTTGCTAACACTGTGTTGATCATTGAGGCTTCATCTGCTTTTATCACAGTTTTTTATCAGACTGTATAAATGAATCTGCACTTAAAACTGCACTGATCAATATTTCAGTACTATCAACAGATCATGTGATCACTCACAGTGAAGAAAGGCTATGTCCTGACTCCAAATGAATGGTTCAGAGAATCTGGATGAGCTTGTTGATGACTTGTTTTCTTTCTCCATGTGACTGTGTTGTTGTGATGTCATTACATGACCATATATCAGGAAGTGGTGCAGTTCAGTGTCATCACAACTGATAGAAATGGACAAAATGTAGCAATGATGTGACAAACACAGGCTTAATGGATTTAGAGGAAAAGGAGACGCTGTCCTTGCACGGAAATTTACAAGCTGCCAATTATTTATTGCAACATTTCGACCTCTTCAGCAGGTCTTCGTCATGCAGACATCCATTTCATCCGTCCTCATTAAGAATCACTTTATCATTAGCAGTGATGACTCATTCACCAGACAGGCGAAAGGTTTTACCAACAGATTCCTCAGTCGAGGATATAAGAGGGAATGGATGGATGAGGCTAGGAACTGCTTCACCAACAAGTCTCAAACTAACCAAAAATAACACAGGGCACCTTTAATCACATGCCCCATTAGGTTTTTACATCTGTGGAGCCATAAACATACATTAGCATATAGTTAAAACAAATATCAAATTAAAACACATTTTCAGGGATCTACCACTATTGTCTTTCAACCCCACGTCCATCCTCAGATATCCTCACTCTCCTGATAGGCAATGACGGATGTGGACTGGCAATGAGCACAACCCTGTGGGTCAACCCATTAGAAGTTTCTTCCTTGTCTTGTATATACGGCACAATGGACAGGTTTCTTTTTACTGTTTATTGATAATATGACATCAACAAAAAAAGTGCTATGTGCACCATTATATACTTTATTTCTGCATTATTTTTGCCTGTATACATGAATGACAAAGACCCTGCAGGTCAAAACGTTGGATGTGCACACTGGATGGTTTTCACAATTCGAGCAAATTGGAAGAGAAAACATATAGATTTTGTAACCATGTAGAAATAAATGGAAATAAATGGCGACCAAGTACAGTAGAAAAATTCTCCAAGAGTCTAAATCTGTACAGTATGTGTTTGGAAAATTTAAACCATACATGATTTGTATTCAAGGAACTAAAATTAAACACGCTGTTAAGGTCATTCAAGGGTTAATCTTTCCTGTGTCAAACCTCTGTGGCCCGGCTGTGACCACTGTGTGGCTCTAGTTGCATCAAAGCTCCATGCAGTCATTTAGAAAGATTATAGCTGACTAAAATAAAGTCACACAGTCGGTCTCCACCAGCGACCACAGCGCTTGTACCATGAGTGTGATTGTAGCCTTCAGGGACAGTTGTTCTTTGAGAAACCAGAGCGTTGTACTGTACTGTGGCTACACTCACACTAAACCTGCTGTATCCCTCCCTCCCTCTCTCATGCCATAGATGTGAAGCCCTCAAACGTGCTGATCAACACTCAGGGCCAGGTGAAGATGTGCGACTTCGGCATCAGCGGCTACCTGGTTGACTCCGTGGCTAAAACCATGGACGCCGGCTGCAAACCTTACATGGCGGTAAGCAGGAAGAGACCACATTAAAGATTTAATGTTCTCCCATGATTCAGTGAGCTGTAATTTTACTGTTTTACTACTGACAAACCCTCATTTTAAAGTCCAACTGAAATCATATGAGTCTTCCCTTTTTTATTTAATGTTTAATTTATAGTTATATTACAGAAGTGAAGAAAATCAGGTCTTAAAGATGAGAGATGCTCCTTTAGCCTCCAAACCTCTGAGGCAGGCCAGTGTAAGTTTGATTGACAGCTAAGAGTAGGAGACACAAACACAGACTTTTAAATTAAATAATATAAATATGAACATAAAGTGTTTAGAATCTAAAGTGACTGATGTTGACATGCAGGTAATTTCTGTAGCTGTCTAATGAGCAACAGCTTACAAGCTAACTAACAAGCTAGCCTGCAAATTGACATTAGCAGTACAGTTTTCTCTTGGTGAATGTTTGTGTGGGAGCTTGTTCAGTAAAGCTGCTGCTGCAACACATGTGATACATTAGCAAGAGAGCTAATTAGCTAGAAAGCCCAATGTAGGTCACAGTTAAAGTCTTAGGCTTTTTTTGCACTTTATATTTATTACATATTGTGTCCATACAAATACAGTTTAACATGAACATGATTTGGTCGACTGTATACAAAGAATTTCTTCATTTACACAAAGAGAAGCAACAACACTCTTGTTCAGTAGAGGATCCGTCTGCTACTTTAGTACAGACTGAAATAGCTCAACTAATATTGGATGGATTAGCGAGAAATTTGGTTTAGACTTTCACGTTCCCCTCATGATGAAATGTAAACTCTTTTCAAATAGAGCCATCGTCGGGTCAAAACTTTAAACTGATCAATACTTTTGTATTGGCATGCTAACACACTGAACTAACATGGTAGACTGCTGATCATCAGCACCTTAGCATACATTGTGAGCATGTTAGCATGCCGATGTTAGCATTGCCCTTTGGAGTTTTCCTGTAAACAAACAAAGTTACATCTGTTGAGGAGATCAAGAGTCTGCTTGCCTTGAAAAATGTGTTGAATTCATAGTTCATCGTGCGCCTTTTTTTTTGTATTTTAAATCTGTTGATTATATCCATGTTTGCTAGGTTGTAGAATTTTTCTTCTTTGCATGCTACATTTATAGCCACCAAACTTAGATCAGCAGATTAGTGTGAAACTGGTGGCAGAAATGTTGGTTGCATTTACATGTGTGTCTTGGTGTGTGCAACAGTGCAAACAAAATGGAGATTCACTTGTAAAACCACTGTTCCATAGTTCTACTAGCAAACTCCACAGGGTACATTGAAAGAAGTTATAATCGATATATTTAGCAGCAAGAGAACCAGATATTTCCCTCAGGAGCAGGCGGAGACCAAAAACTGAGGGAACACTGAACTTAAGATTCAGCAGGTGGAGACAAACACCACTCCACATGAATGATAATGTTACTCCTGTAACTTCTAAATGTATTTTAATCAACTATTTGCTAACAAGATCAGTGTTGTGTTCACAACCTGTTGCAAGCTCCCCAAGTGGCCGCATAATCAGTGATTGGAGGTTTAAGTGTAAGTGAATCCTCACAGAGCTGCTAGCATAGCTGTAGACTCAAAGGAGAGCACAGGATGTCGTTTGCAGAGATGATCTATTTAGTGAAGCAGAAAAAAAACGTGAAATATATTTTCATTCAGACTTAAAGAGTTCTTTGAACTGATCTTTGCACCGGAGAATCAGTGAAAGTAGTTTAACCTGGGAGTGCAGAAAAATTTCTTTGTGTATCACAGCTTTAGTCGCATTTATAAACTTTTTGTCTCTTGATAACTTTGGCCTCAGCTCATTGGCAGAGGGGTGAACAGGTTCACCTCGACACACCTAACAAGCCTGGTTACATTTTAACCCCGTCTGCTCCGCTGCTGATTGGCTGAGTGGGTTTTAGGGCCAGGTTAGCGGTTGGGGAATATCGCAGGCTGTGTGTTTAAGATGTCAGGAGAATGTCCTTGTCGTCAATGACGACCGCTGTCATGAGTGACGTTGTGTGGCTTTCTGTTTTGCAGCCGGAGCGGATCAACCCTGAGACCAACCAGAAAGGCTACAACGTCAAATCTGACATCTGGAGTTTAGGAATCACGATGGTAAATCAGCTTTTATTGCTCTTCATCTCTCTCCCCCTCATGCACACATTTAAATTTCTTAATTTGTTCATACCAGTTTTTCTAAATGTCCTCATATAAAAAAATAAAAGTATGTGAAGGGTAAAAATTAATCATAATAAAAGAAATCTGGCGTTCGATGAGCCATAGCTCGAGACGTTTCAGTGTCTAGACGTTTTATTATGAGTTGTTAAATATTCATAGCGTTCTCATTTACATTTTCAAACTCAGACCAGAGAATATTTTGGCATCAAGGATTCAACAAACTATGGCAAATTTCCTCAATTTAACCCCGGCTCGTCCTTCTCTCTGCTCGAGCAGCGAGGAGTGAGTGTTCAGTCTAATCTGAATGGTAATAAGAGGAGAGGAGAAGAGTTTCATTATGGATTCTGAGAGGTGGAAGGAAGTTTTTTTTTTTTTTTTTTTTTCTTTTTTGGTCCTAACTCTTAAACGAAACAAAATTGGACAAGACAGAATGAGCAATCAGTCACAAAACACACTGATTGTCAGAGCACCTGTTACTTCTGGAGAACTGTACTCCTGAGCCGCAAGGACGAGGACGAGGGAGACTGAAACAGGTTCAGAGTGAAGCAGGTGATGAGACGTCAGTTTGAATCAGTCTGAAGATTAGAAAACAGGAAGCTCTGGAGCTGATGTCGTTCATGTTCTGGATTTTGCAGCAACTGATAGAAGAGGTGGATAATTTGTGAAGACATGATGAGTCAAACAGTGAGAGATTCATGTAAAACCACCAACATCACAATCTGGGTAACTTTATTATTCACAGCTATATCAAATTTCTAAGAATTACACAGTTTGAAGAGCAGCCCTTAAGGGATCACATGATTTACATCTGCCATATTGTACAGGTTTATTCAGTGGTGTGTTGTTAATCTTCAAATTTTTTATTCTTACTCCTATAATTTAAATTTTTTTATTATGATCTGACAGAAAATGTCTGCGTGCTGAGCTCTGCTTCTGTAAAGTCATCGAGGATTTACTCTGAACCAGGAAAACCGACCCGACCCTGCAGCTCTGTCGTTTAACATCATTTTTGATAAAGTTTGATAAATAGGTTTTATTCTTCGGTTTGTGAGTTGGAGTAAAAGAGAAGCAGTTTGATAAATATGGTCCCGGGTCTCTGGTCGTCCCTGAAAACTTGATTGGATAAAACCTAAAACCAGGGCAGTAGTGTACAAGTGTAAAAACGCAGTCACTGAGAGTGACCCCTCTCTCTCTCTCTCTCTCTCTCTCTTTCTCTCAGATCGAGCTCGCCATCCTGCGCTTCCCATACGACTCGTGGGGCACGCCCTTTCAGCAGCTGAAGCAGGTGGTGGAAGAACCTTCGCCCCAGCTTCCTGCTGACCAGTTCTCCCCAGACTTTGTGGACTTCACCTCTCAGTGGTTTGTCTCTTTCTCTTGTTCTGTCCCATTTTTCAGCAGAACCTGGTCTCACAAAACATTCAGGACCACACTTTTTAAATCACGTGATAAATGTGTATCGATCCCAGTTTACTGGGCTAATCTCCCTTTATGAGACTGAGTTGAGTATGCTGGTGTTTTGTTGTTTGTTGTACTAGCAGGATAACAGGGACGTGTCAGCACTCTCTAGCTGTGCATGGAATATGTCTGAAGCTCCCTCAGCAGCCTGTTTGTTTATTTATTTAGATCCCCATTAGCTTTTGCATTGCAGCAGCTATTCTTCCTGGGGTCTATACAGTTTTGATGTTGACAATACAGGCACACACATTCACAGTTTTAGAGCTGCTACTAATCAGTATTATTATCATCAATTAAATTGATTTGCGTTTTATTGACTCTTTATTCTAAAAGGAACATAATAAAAAAGTTACAGAAATTTACCAGAGCACCAGGTCAAGCTTTCCAACTGCTTGATTTGTTCAAAACTCAAAGATATTCTGTTTGACAAACACTCCAAACTTAAAGTCACTTACTCTCTTTTTCCCAGCTTATAGCCATATCTCCCACTGGGTGGACCCAATTAAGAATGCAATTAAAATGCTTTAAATCTTTTCTGCTGCCACACAGTCTGTGCAATAAATCTTAACCCGTGAGAGCAGTGTCTGTCGTTACGATGTGCGACTGCTTCAAATGGCGTGCTGCGAGCCCCCCGGAGGCCCCCGATCAACGCTGCTCGCAGCTTTAAGAGACAATTCAGTTTTCAGTGAAATGAAACACAGAAAATCAGAAAGTCCTCATGTTTCAGAAGCTAAAACTGACAAATCTTTGCTGTTTTGTGTCATTAAACCATTAATCATTTATCAAAATTGTTGTGGATAAAATTTTTGTTAATCAAATAATCTATAAATTGACTTAATTGTGTCTAATATGCAATACCAGAGAGATTACTCCAGGCATTCAGCTCAGCTCTCAGTAAAAGTCATTGGGTGCTGGATAGACTGTGACCCCATTTACACTCAGTCATTTCATGCATCTTGGGTGGATCAGATAGACGCTTGATATTTGATATCATACAAGTGTGTAAGCACACAGTGTTTCCTCCTCCAGTGCAACAGCATCAGGGAGCATTTGTGGTGTTTCCTCTGTAATGAAGCAGCTGAAATTCTGCAGAGGAAGAAAGCAGCTCCAGCAACTTCATCACATACAGTCACACAAGAGACATAATCCTGTCACATAATCATAATCCTGACATAATCCTGTCACAGTGATTAAACTGACCCCTGATCAGTTTAACACTGATTGATCTGTGTGTGTGTGTGAGAGTCTGTGAAGATGGTCAGACTTCTGTGGTCGTCTTGTTGTTCTTGTGGATCGCTGTCAGCTCCCCCTCTCAGCTGATACTGTTGTAACTGAACTGCATGTGTGAAAGTTATTCTTCTTCTGGTATTTTTTTGGCTTCAGCTTCAGGTACATTACCACCACCCTCTGGACTGACGTAGAGCTGACACTGATTTGCATGTAGCTGGGAAACAGATTGTAATCAGATTTGTGATCAGGGACAGACGGTCTCTGGACTTTACCTGGATATCAGATGAGTGTATATGAGGCCTGTGGTTCTTGTGAATCCTTTACATCAGGTTTCATTTCCTGCTGCCGGGTTTGTTTGATACGTTGTTAGCTGAAGGTTTTCACATGGTTTAACACATTGTTGAGTTACACATGTATTTCCTGAGTCAATAGTAGAGAGATGGATTTGGTCGCATTAGGAAAAATCTGTGTTTCTTAATGATGAAATAGTGAAAGTAAAAACCAACTCCAGTTTGAGTTTGGAGCCTGAAACCAGCAGGACCAATCTGGACTGCTGCCATGCCCTAGAGCAAGGCACCTCACTCCCATCTGCTCCAGTGCAGCTGGTACTATATATATATGTGATTATATGAATGTTACCCTGTTCCCCTGGGATAGAAATACAGTCAAATGAATGCATTTAGTGACCTTAATTATACACTCTGATCACATCCAGAATACAGTGACCTCCCTCGTTGTGTAATGATGGAGCTGTACCTGCAGTGAGGTCAGAGGATGAGACTGCAGTGGGAACAGTGTTGGTGGTGGGTTAGTTCTTGGAACCAGGATTTATCGGGTCTGTCGAGAACAAACAGTGAACAGGAAACGGCGCTCGATTACTGGCAAACACTCACTTGGTATAGTTGTTTTTGTCTACTATTCTCATTAATGCTCGTGTGTGACTCATTATGTTTGGCGGTATGTTTTCTCAGCTACTGCCAGTCCGCTCACGCTGGGTTGTTTCCTGCTATTTCAATCCTGGGAAACATCAGAGAATCTCGGATCTCAAGTGCTATCAAAGTCTATTTAGTTTATTATCAGGCTCAACAGTGAAGCATTTCCCCGAAATAAAACCCGAAATTTAAAGCTCCATATTTTCCCTCTTCTTCTATGTTCTATTTGAAGTGTTGATCCATAAGAAGATATATTTGTGGTGTTAAGAACCAAAAACCATCTTGGTGTAGTTTTACATCTTCTCTCTCAGGCTTCTCTCTGGAATTCTAGTAACAACAGGTTGGTGAGAGGAGGCGCTGAGCTGCTCTTTTGATTGGCTGACTGTTTTCTGAGTGATCCAATAAAAATACCAAATTTCAGGTAAACACTCAGAGAAATCAAATCCTGCAAAGGTTGGAATAATGGGTCCCAGTAGGCGGGGCTTGGGGTGTGGCTGAGAATGGGTGACTGTTTTGTTGTGACATCACAAAATATACAGAAGTCCTGACGGCTGGTTTTAAGGCTCAGTTTCTGAATACAGGCTGTGTGCATTTCTCTGTGGACTGAGCGTTTTGATACTTTCACAGTATTAATATAGAACCTAGACCTGATCTATAATCAAAAAAGGCGTCGACATCTATCTACCTTTTATGCAATATTGGACCTTTAAAGTTGCTTTATGTAAGATTTGCTATTGCTACTTAGCCAACGTTAGCATTAACAGCTGTTTACATACAAGTTTAGAAGAAACATTGCGAATTCGGCATCAAACGTCATTCCTTTACGGCTGTCTCCAGAGGTTGAAACCAACCTTCTCGTTTTGCTTCTATATGTATCACCTCTTTTCTTTCACTGAAGTTAGCCTGCTAACCAGCTAGCTCCAACCCATCACGTCACTTTCTGATACTGTAGCTTCCAGTCTGCCCTGAAGAAGAAGTAGCTTATATATATACGTATATATATATGTACTCCTTTAAGACTGAAGTTTGGTTGGTGCTCTGGTGTGAGGGATGAGTTGTATTTCTTGTGAATTGTTCTTGATTTTTTTTTTCTTTTGCTCCTGCAGCTTAAAGAAAGTTTCCAAAGACCGGCCGACTTACACAGAACTCATGGTGAGTGTCACTGTTGTGATTTCATGTCTTTATTCTGCTCTGTTAACACATTAGATTCATGCATCACCTGCATACATCTTGTAATACTCTTAATCAGACACTGGAGGGCACACTAAGACTGTTATAGGTACGTGGCTGAAAGTCTGTTCTCCCACAGACAAACCAATACGCTCCAGTGCTCAGATCAGGTGAACTGATAAAATTAAACGAATGTCGTTCTCCTCCTCAGCAACATCCCTTCTTCACCTCCCACGAGGCCAAAGAAACTGACGTGGCTAGCTTTGTGAAAGTCATCCTGGGGGACTGAGTCGTCACACTTGCACAGCAGTGGAGGGAGGATCTGTCAAAAAGAAGAAGAAGAAGAAAAAAAAAAATACAACAAACAAACAAAAAGCACCAATCACAGCCCCTCCCCCCTCCTCCTGTCACCTCCACCACCAACCTGCCATACTCTCACCCCTCCATCCCTCCCTCCCTCCCTCCCTCCACAGACGGAAGGACAGAAGAGGAGAAGTAGAACGAGGAGTTTGTCCCCGCCTCCACCTGGCCTCCATGTCCTCTGTACATTACCTGACATGGGAGGGGGGTGGTCGGCCGTTGGTGGGTGTCTCACACATAATCTGGAATAATTTAAGATGTCTGTATGCAAAAAAAAACTCCCTCTGCGGTTAGATGTGTCCCACCTCTGTGCACCGCCTATTACTCAAGCGTTGTTAATAGTCAGCGAGGTGACTGTGTGGCTTGTTGTAACGGTCAAACAAAAGGTTTTTTGGTTTTTTCTTTTTTGTTTGTTTTTTTTTTTGTTTTTTGTTTTTTTGCTGAAAAACAGAAGAGGTGCAGATTATATAAAAAGATGAATGATATAATGCTATCTATGTATAATCTAAATGTTTGTATACTCAAAGCAAGTGTTGCATCGGTTTATTAATTGATTGCATGTACAGAATATATCTCTGAGTAAAAACGGGCTCCAGGGAGGAAAAAGTTGTAGAGTCCGATGGTTGAAGAGCTGCAGACGTACGGCCTCACGTCAGGGCCCCTCCTAGTGGTCACAAATAGGTACTGCACTTCAACTGCTTTCCCTCGATTACAGCGGAGGTCTACTACACGTTTTTGGGCTCTGGCTGCCTGTGAGTGTGTCTGTGTGTGTGTGTGTGTGTGTGTGTGTGTGTGTGTGTGTGTGTGTGTGTGTGTGTGTGTGTGTGTGTGTGTGTGTGTTTGTGTGTAAGTAAGTGTATTTGTATGTGTGTGATCTGGTGCATGATATGTGTGTGTCTGTGTGTGTGTGTGTGTGTGTGTGTGTGTGCGCGTGTTAGTGTGTTAGTAGAGCTGCAGGATTCTGGATACAATGAGATGATTTTGTAATGAAGTTCTTCCTCTGCAGGCTTGTTGTGCCTGAGGTGAAGCTCTGATTCAACTTCCTGTTCTAGATTTTTGTGGCTGCGCAGCGGGGTCGATGTTGTGACCTCTGTGTTATATTTTGTTGTAGCTCATTAGGTAGTCGTCCGAGCTGTATCCAAACGAGTGCATTTAAAGTGATAGTTCTGGTTATTTGACCTGGTGTTGTGTGAGGTGTTCATCTATAGTCATTGTATCACCACTTTGTTAAAGGGCTGTTTGACAGGAAGATAAAGCAGTAAAAATATTCAAAACAAAGCAGAAGTAAAGTAAAGTACACTTAAACTGATATTAGCTTTTTCCTGTGGACATTGTTAAAGTGGCGTAAACACTTTTTTGCGGATGACCCTGTCCACAGCAGCTCATCACTCACTTTCTGTGCCAGTACTCCTGCTGCTTCTCTAAACAGGGAGCTGATCTGATTCGACTGCATGTAATACACTTATATAGAGTATAAATAAATATCTCACACAACCCCACTTCAAATAACCTGAACTGTCACTTTAAACACATGCATGTGCTCATCGAGTTTAAATCTGAAGTTCGTCCAAAAAGAAATATGATCATATTTTTCTATTTCTGTGTAAAATTTTTGTCAGAACTTGGGTTGGATCATTTATTTTACTCAATTCTGACAAATCTTTTTCTCCATTTTGTTATTTATGTCTCAAAACAAGATTAAGGACTGAATTTGATTCTTCTCAATGGAAAAAATTTAAACTTAGTCACAGAAATCTGACACAAATATTTCTATTTTATTTGTTTGGATCCATTTTTGTCTTTGTAAAGCACAAATTTGGACTGAAATTCTTTGACACAATTGGTCGATTTTGTGGAGGCAGAGAAAATTTGTGCCTCATTTTAAGAGCTAAATTTTTGTGACGCACAAATTTCCCTGTTGCCGAATCTTTGAAGGAACAGAGCCAGATTGGAGCTGTTCGCCCTGCTGCTGCAAATCCACCACAGACTCTATTTCACAAGCCAATGAGATTGTGCAGAGATACCGGATGAAACAGTGACTTTAATCCAATCAATGGTGCAGCTCTACGTGACACACACCGACACACACCGACACACACACACACACACACACATTTTTAAGTGAGGTGTGTGTTGACATTGTGGTCAGTTGTGGGAGAAGATTGCCCATGTTCTCCTTGTTGTCTGTACTGAGCCAATCACAACCATCTCCACTCCTTGTTCAACATGAAAAAGAACTGGATTACTATTATTATTATTAATATTATATTAATTATTGTTATTATTTAGATCCAGGTTTTTTTTTTTGTTTTTTTTCCCCCAGACTTATTTACTGCAGTTTCTCTTATTTATTACAACTGCTGTTTTCCCTCTGGAAACTTGACCGATCCATCTGAGACTCTTCTCGTGTGTTTGTGGGCTGTTTGTTTTCACGTAAAATGCTTTTAAACTGTAACTTGCAAGCCTTCTATGTGCCTCTCTATAGAAAAACAACTAAGGAAAATAATATGTTGTAATCAGGATGACGCAGGGATCTCTGCCTCTCCCATCATATCACCTTCCTCCCGCTTCACACTTCATGCATGGCATCGTAATTCCACTTCCTGTTTGTCATGATTACCGCGTGTTTGTTGTTGTAGTTGGAGCTCCACATCGTCAGTATTTATCTCCCGTATGTTTGTGCTCATCTCTGTCGTTGCCTTGGTTCTTGGCTTTTTTCCTTCTTTTCCTCGCGGTCGGTTTCTGATGGCAGGAAAGTGGCGAGCTGCTCACAGAAGAGCTCGGCTGATGCTTCTAGTTGTTATGCAAGTACTACTCTAATGGCTAAATGGGGAATTTGAAATACTGTATGTGACAGGATGGCAGGGTATTGTCTCAGACGGGGGAATTTACATCTTCTTGCCTATAGGTATTTTTGTTACTGGGGGTATTCTTAGTACTCTTCTGCCTTTGTGTCTGAGTTTAAGTTGTGCTGAAGTTGTTTGGTTGTTGCTTAAAGGCACAATCTGTGATGTAGGAGACGACAATAAGGACTGGAATCTGCTTTGACTCCCAAACTCACTGACATGACTTCCTTTTAATCTTTTCCACTCACTGTTAAACGCAGGGCATGCTACCATTAGCATTCGCGTTTAGAGTCACGTTTCCGGCCAATGGGACTGAACCGAAAAAGAAAGGTTGCAGGGGCCACAAAATCAAAACAAGGATCTGAAAGACAGTAAAAGGCTCCACAGAGATGAAGAGAGCTGCAGAGTAGAGTGATTTTGTCATTTGATCATGGGTTAATATATAAATATGAATTAATGCAGCCGTAAATAACAAGTTTCTGCTGCTGTTCCAGGTTTGTTTACATCAGTAATATTTGTAAACAGGCTGAGATTTTCAATTATGATCTTACTGCGATTAAAAACTGCTAATTTTCCAACATCATTATCATAAAAGCCCCTCTGTGTAGATTTTTGTCTGTGTCGCCCTCTAGTGGTGATATCAAAAAAGACAGAGCAGTGAACACTGATGCACCGTCCCACCTGGGCTGTCTTCATTTTCTACAAACTAAAACTCAGGCCATCAGAAAATTTCGAAAGATTTAAAGTCCTCAAAGTCCCAAAATGTGATAATTTTTTGAATTTTGTTATCAGAAGATTTAAAAATAAAAAATTTCTAAGAACTTTTGGGCTCTGTAGAAAAGATGCTACAGTGGCTTTAAACCATTCAGTGATTATGCAGATATCCCTGTCGTTTAGATGCTGAAAACAGTCACATATAGACCCTTTAACAAACTGCACCAGGTCGTACACGTTAATGTCCGGCACATTCAGTAGCATTTGTATCTCTTTTGTTCTCAGTCCAGTACAGTCCGCTCCGTCATTTAAATGCATCCTCCAGGGAGTTTCCTGTTTTGTAGCCGACTTGCAACCTTCCTCTCACCCTTCTCCCCGTAACCTGCTGCCTGCTGGGCTCAGCTCCCAAGACCTTTAGCTCTCTGTCCACCAGGTGACTCCTTAACGTTCCTCGAAGTATAAAACACAGACTCCTGGCTCATTAAGCTTCCTCCCCCTCTCTCTTTATTGCTGTCACCCTCCTTTACCACTTCCTGCCATCGTAGTTACCAAACCTTTCACCACAGCTGATAGTGCTGAAAGGCCTGTGACACAATGGATGTGATTGTGTTTTAACTCCTACGTGCGCCTCCCTTTGTCACTTTCCTATCTCCTCTGTTGTAGTGTAAGTGAGTCAGAGGGTAGGAGTCAGTCCATCAGACAAAACTCACTGCCGGTCACCAACTTGAGGACGTTAGGGCTCCATCATCAGTACATCACTGTGCTGAAGGTGGAAATCTCCTCCTGAGAAGCTCTTATTTTCCTCAGTGTTTTATTGCATGATGAAATTAGCAAAATTCAAGTCACACTTTTTCTCAGCAGAGTGGTTAGGTGTCACAGGTCTGTCCTGTCCTGATCTGTCGTGTTCTCTGTAAAAGACCCTGGCGAGTCCCTGAGGGTCTCGTGATGAGCAAAGCACCAGAGTCCTCTTTCTTCATCAGATGATTAGCATCATTTTTCACTAATTCAGCAAATGTGACCAAAGAGAGGCGAGCACTCACATGGAGCTGGGGCTCAGGGGGCGATGGGGGGAGTCTTTGAGGAGGAGGAGGAGGGTGTGGGGGGGTGGGGGGGGCAGTGTGTGCAGGGGACAGTGTGTGCAGACCTCCTGCTGCTTGATGAGCATCAAGGAGAGAACTAGTCCAGACACTCTGACATCCCACCTGCTGGAAATAATGACACGCTCTACTTTCATTCATCATCATGTGCATGGTTTCGTTGCAGTGTAGTGTGTGTGTGTGTGTGTGTGTGTGTGTGTGTGTGTGTGTGTGTGTGTGTGTGTGTGTAGTTTATGTAGGTGTTTTAAGTGCCTGACGATGCGTCTCTGTGTTGTACATTTACATTTACATTGA